GCTAGACTCAGTGGCATTCTTGGATCATGTAGTATCGAGTGATGGGATCCAGGTGGATCCAAAGAAGGTGGAAGCAGTGCAGAGTTAGCCTAGACCGTCATCAGCTATGGAGATCCGGAGTTTTCTTGGTTTGGCGGGATATTACCGCCGTTTTTAGAGGAATTCTCATCCATTACAGCACCTATGACCAGGCTGACCCAGAAAGGTGCTCCGTTCAGGTGGATGGAGGAATGTGAGGAGAGCTTTCAGAAGCTCAAGACAGTTTTGACTACAGCCCCAGTATTGGTATTGCCTACAGGTTTGGGGTCTTATACTGTATATTATGATGCGTCGCGAATTGGTCTCGGCGCGGTGTTGATGCAGGACGGTAGGGTGATTGCCTACGTGTCCAGACAGTTGAAGGTGCATGAGAAGAACTATCTTGTCCACGACCTTGAGTTAGAAGCTATTTTTCATGCCTTGAAGATTTGGCAGCACTATTTGTACGGTATTCTTTATGAGATTTACACCAACCATCAGAGTTTGCAGCATCTGTTCAAGCAGAAGGATCTTAATCTGCGTCAGCGGAGATGGTTGGAGTTGCTTAAGGATTATGATATCACCATTTTGTGCCATCGCGGGAAGGCCAATATGGTAGTTGTTGCTCTGAGTCACCAGGAGGAGAGTTTGGGGAGCTTAGCATATCTACCAGCAGCAGAGAGGCCATTGGTGTTGGATGTTCAATCCTTAGCCAGCCATTTTGTGAGATTGGATATTTTTGAGCCGAGTCGAGTATTGGCTTGTGTGGTCTCTCGGTCTTCTCTTTATGACCGTATCAGGGAGCGTTAGTATGATGACCCCCATCTGTTTGTCCATAAGGACATGGTCCAGCACAGTGATGCTAAGGATGTCACTATTAGGGATGAGGGTGCATTGAGGATACAGGGCAGGTTATGTGTGCCCAATGTAGATGGTTTGCGATAGTTGATTCTTCAGGAGGCTCACAGTTCACGGTACTCCATTCATCCAGGTGTCGCGAAGATGTACCAGGACTTGAGGCAGCATTACTGGTGGAGAAGAATGAAGAAAGATATAGTGGAACATGTAGCTCGGTGTCTAAATTGCCAGCAGGTAAAGTATGAGCATCAGCAGCCAGGTGGGTTGCTTCAGAAGTTAGAGATTCCGAAGTGGAAATGGGAGCGGATCACTATGGATTTCGTTGTTGGACTTCCACGGACTATGAGGAGGTTTGATACAGTTTGGGTGATTATGGATAGGCTGACCTAGTCAGCTCATTTCCTTCCTCTGATGACTACCTATTCTTCCGAGCAGCTGGCTCGAATTTATATCTGTGAGATTGTCAGACTTCATGGCGTACCGGTATCTATCATCTCTAATCAGGGTACGCAGTTTACATCATGGCTCTGGAGGGCTGTACAGCAGGAGTTGGGTACTCGGGTTGAGTTGAGAATAATATTTCACCTTCATACGGACGGAGAGTCCGAGCGCACTATTCAGATACTGGAGGATATGCTCCACACTTGTGTGATAGATTTTGGGGATGCTTGGGATCAGTTCTTGCCACTTGCGGAGTTTGCCTACAACAACAGTTATCAGTCGAGCATTCAGATGGCACTGTATGAGGCTCTGTATGGTAGGTGGTGTCGGTCTCCTGTGGGTTGGTTCGAGTCGGGCGAGGCTAGATTACTGGGTACAGACTTGGTTCAGGATGCCCTGGATAAGGTGAAGGTGATTCAGGATCGACTTGGCACAGCCCAGTCCAGACAGAAGAGTTATGTGGATCAGAAGGTTCGGGATGTTGCATTTATGGTTGGAGAGCAGGTCTTGCTCCGGGTTTCGCCTATGAAGGGCGTTATGAGGTTCGGGAAGAAGGGCAAGCTGAGACCAAGGTTTAGTGGCCCATTTGAGGTGTTGCGGCGAGTTGGGGAGGTTGCTTATGAGCTTACCTTGCCTCCCAGCCTTGCAGGGATTCATTCAGTATTCCACGTTTCTATGCTCCGAAAGTATCACGGTGATCCGGCTCATGTATTGGATTTCAGCTCAGTCCAGTTGGACAAGGATCTATCTTATGTTGAGGAGCCAGTGGCTATTTTGGAACAGGCAGGTTGGCAAGTTAAGGTCAAAGAATATTGCATCAGTAAAGGTTCAGTTAAGGGGTCAGCCGGCCGAGGAGGAGACTTGGGAGACCGAGCAGGATATGCGCAGTCGTTACCCTCATCTTTTCACCACTTCAGGTATGTCTTTATGCTCGTTCGAGGACGAACGATTGTTTTAAGAGGGGGAGGATGTAATGACCCGACCAGTCGATTTGAGAGTAATAGCCCCGATCCCCTATTTACTGTTTCCCCGTACCTTTTTCTGCTTTTGTGACTTGCTTGGAGGTTTTATTTTTGGTTTCGGAGTGTTTGGGACACTTAGTCCCAAAAACGGAAGCTTAAGTCTTACGATTTTGACAGTAGTCGGAACTGTATGAAGACAACTCCAGAATGGCGGTATGTCGGTTCTGTTAGCTCTGTTGGGTGATTTTGGACTTGGGGGCATGTCTGGATTATGTTTTGGAGGTCAGTAGCTGATTTAGGGTTGAAATGGCGAAAGTCGAATTTTTAGAGATTTTGAACGATAGCGAACTTTTTGATATCGGGGTCGGATTCCAATTTCGGAAGTTGGAGTAGGTTCGTAATGTCAATTACAACTTGTGTGCAAAATTTGAGGTCAATCGGACGTGATTTGATAGATTTCGACATCGGTTGTAGAAATTTGAAGTTTAAAAGTTCTATGTTTGAATTGGAGGATGATTCGTGTTTTTAGCGTTGTTTGATGTGATTTGAGGGCTCGACTAAGTCCGTATGGTGATTTAGGACTAGTTGGTATGTTTAGTTGAGGTCTCGGGGGCCTCGGGTGTGTTTCGGATGCTTAACGGAAGAAATATTGGACTTAGGAAATTGCTGAAGCCTTCAGGCATCTAGTGTTTTCGCACCTGCGTTGGGGAGATCGCAGGTGCGGGGCCGCACGTGCGGATGATTAAGCGCAGAAGCAATTTTGGAAGGAATGGTCAGGGGTCGCAGGTGCGAGGTGAGTTCCGCAACTGCGATGCCCGCAGATGCGCTGGAGAGATCACATGAGCGATGGGGGACCGCAAAAGCGTACATAGGTCCGCAGGTGCGGTGTTTTGACCGCAAAAGTGGGCGATGAGTTTTAAGTGAAATCCGTAACTGTGATGGAAATTTCGCAGGTGCGGGACCGCAGATGCGGTTGAAGGCTTGCAGAAGCAAGATCTCTGGCAGAAAAATGGCTAAGTGTGAGGGTTTGATCTCATTCTTCATTTTTTGACTTGAGAGCTCGGAATTTGGCGATTTTTCGAGGGATTTTAAGAGAAAGCTTGTGGGTAATGATTTTTACCTCTTTTATGGTTATATCTCATTAATCTATAGTTGATTCTACCCTTTAATTAAGGATTTGAGTTGGAAATTAGGTAAAAATGGTATAAACTTCCTAGACTAAATTTTTGAGATTTGGAAGGCTATTTGAGGTCGAACTTGAGAAATTCTTGTATGGTTAGACTCGTGAGAGAATGGGTGTTCGTATTTTGTGACTTTTACCCGATTCTGAGACGTGGGCCCGGGTCGACTTTTTGGGACGATTTTCTAATTTCTTGTTTTAGCTTTGATTTTATTAATTTGATTAATTTTCTTATAGTCTATTTATGGTATGCAATTGATTTGGCTAGATTTGGGCCATCCGGAGTCGGATATTCGTGGAAAAGACATTGTTACCGATTGATTGAGCTTGGTTCGAGGTAAGTGGCTTGCCTAACCTTGTGTGGGAGAGATCCCCTTAGGATTTGGTACTGTTGTGATATGTGAGCGTCGTGTACGTGAGGTGACGAGTTCGTACACTGGCTATTTGTTGAAAAATCCGATTTATTTTACTGAGTAGCGACTTGTTTCCTTTAATTTGAGTTATGCCGTTTAAATGCGTATTAGTCTGTTTTCTTCATTCTAAATTGAGTTATCCCAATATGCGTAGTTATCATCTTTAGTCTAATATCGTATGTCTACGTGCTTTAACTGCTTATTTGAACTCTGTGAAGCATGCCTAGTTGATTTTCTGTTTTTTCTAGTTGAACTCTGTGAAGCATGCCTAATTCGGGATGTACGCCCGGGCGTTTAAGGCGCGTTTTTGTAGTGAGGCGTAAGCCCAAGAGACTTTTTCAAATTAAAATAAAATTTGTTAAATAAGTCCTTCATATAATACCCAAATTCTCAAAAGTCAGCTTATAATTACTCAAAAGTTTTAAAAAGGAACTGAAATATTTTAAATTTAAAAGTAAAGACCTTTTTTATTGATTGAAACCCTAATTTATGGTCTTTTCGAATTCTTTATCTTGTCCACTAGTGTGTTAATATCTCCCAAAAGCAACGAATATTCCATTTTGTTTTACAAATACTAAGAGAACATCATTCTCCTTCGTAGCAGCAAGCTCAAAGTTCAAATTGCAGGTTAGTCATCCTTTTTATTCCTTCATGTAAAAAACTTTTATTCTTTTCGACTCAAGTTACTTGTGTTTGTAAGTAGCGTATAATAGATTGTTTTGATTAATTTTTTGTAAGGATGAAACACATCTATATATATATATATATATATATATATATATATATATATATATTTCACATGCTTATAGTTTTTTTATATTTTTATATAATTTTATATATTTATAAATATTTAATATAATTATATTATTTTATAAAATATTAAAAATTAAATACTGATTAGACTTTTGTGTTACCTAACTCGCCTTACTCCCACGCCTGTTCAAACGCTGCGATGAATCAGATTCATTTCTGCAGTGGTGGGACCCGCTCCAATAAATCACAATAACTATTCCGACTTTGCGAAACCAGTATATCAAAAGTCACCGCATTATTTTAACAGGCGATAACTCCAATTAAAATGTCGAAAACCACAATTTAAGAAATTTGCACGAATTCGAACTTACACAGTGAAATAAACCGAGAAATCTAATCTTATTCCAATTCTAACTTGCACTGGTAGTTTTAAAAACGACCAATTACAGTAAAGACCCGACACAGTAAGCCCGAAACCCGACCCACAATAAGCTCAAAAAGGAAAAAACTGGAAAAAAAAACGAAAAACGGCAGATCAGTACGCTGCGATCACATAGTTAACTAGTTTAGATCATCATTAACATTAATTAATACGATTAATAATCTAAGAGAGTTGACCACAGTCAGCAATCACAACGGGCTTCGAGCACCTGCCGGAGCTAGATCCAACGGCCTCCACTTTCTTAATCACATCCATTCCTTCAATAACTTGACCAAACACCACGTGTTTTCCGTCGAGCCACTCGGTTTTGGCCGTACAAATGAAAAACTGCGATCCGTTAGTTCCAGGGCCAGCATTAGCCATGGAGAGAATTCCAGGTCCAGTATGCTTTTTAACGAAATTCTCGTCGGCGAATTTGGCGCCGTAGATCGATTCACCACCGGTACCGTTTCCGGCAGTGAAATCACCTCCTTGACACATAAATCCAGGGATCACACGGTGAAATGATGATCCTTTGTAGTGTAACGGCTTGCCGGACTTTCCGACGCCTTTCTCTCCGGTACAGAGTGCTCGGAAATTATCCGCCGTTTTCGGAACTACATCGTTGAACAATTCCATCACTACACGGCCAGTCGGTTGACCGCCGGTGGTAAGGTCGAAGAAAACCTTAGGATTTGCCATCTCTCTCTCTTCTAGAAATTTCTGTGGAATTTTTAAGCTATGCTCTCACCGTATGAATAATCTATGCATTTGAGATTAAGCTAAAAGGAGTTTATATAGGAAACTGCAAAGCGGATAATTTGTTTAAGAGATGATCTTAACCGTTAACCACGACAGGTGTCAGCATTATGAAGTGTGAATTTGACCGTGGTTAGTTTAACATTTTACCGCAGTTAGTTTAGCATATGGATCACGTGGTATATGCGTTTCTGATGCTATGGGACCAGTTAGTGGAGATAATTTCGAAGTTTCGAGTGACTCGGCCCATTTTGTGGTCCACAAAAGCCCAAGTCCATTGGAACCCGGACAGCTCTTGTTTCAGTTTGTAATTTAAGCTTTTTTCTTTTCTTGGAGTTAGGCAAAGTAGGAAACCAATTTGGACAGTCTATTGATATGGTGTATAGAATTTGTTTTTGATAATTATAATTAGGCGAAATGGCATGGGAGACCCCTATACTTGTCCAGCTTTGCATGCCGGTGTTCGTACTTACAAGTTTGCCAATCAAACCCCTTTACCATTAAAAACGTGAAAATAGAACGGGCTAGCCAGTTTTCGGACTAACAATTGAATAATAGTCAGCGCTTGCAATGTCTTTGAAAAATAGCCATTATTTTGCTGCAACACGAAAAATTTCAGCATAATATACTGGAGATTGGTGCACATGTGTATGAACTTCCAGCATATTATACTGGAACTTCAGCACACAGAAAGTTCCAACATAATATACTGAAGATTGGAGCACCTGTGTGTGAACTTCCAGTATATTATGCTGGAAGTTTACATGTATAAAATTCAAACTCTAGTATATTATGCTGGAATATTTTTCGAATTTTGAATAGTGTTTTCGTTCAGATTTATCTTTACATGAAAAGTGGCTAAATTTCGATTACTTTTGAAACTGTACTATTTTTCAATTACCACTTGTAAATCTGGCTATTTTTGAGCCCTTAAAAACTGAACATTTTAAACTCCGCTTCGGCCCGCTCATGGTGCGTGTTGTTTAAACGCCTCCATGTTGGCTGCCACGTCAAAAAAATAACAATGTGTAGATTCCATGTCACATGGCAGATTAAAAATAATTAAAATCAAAAATTAAAAAAAAAATCAAACATTAATCCCCTAATCCCCTCCCCCATTGATTTCTCTCTCTCTCCCCCTCACGTTCTTCCTCCTTCCCATCTTGTTTCTCTCTCTTCTTGTTCTTTCTCCTCTCCTCTTCCGATTCTTCCCCTTTATATATTATAATATATTGTAAAAATAAAATTAAAAGGAATAAAGAAACGAAATCGAGGTAAAAATTAATCGAGAAGTGGGAGAAGAAGTTCGGTGGTCCATTTCCATGGTTGAAGTCGTTAGGTGGCGGAGAAGAAGTTCGATGGTCTATTTTTTGTCCAGCTCGAAAAGTGGAGGAATAATTCATTGTTTTTCTTCTTTATTTCTTTTTTTAATTGATTTTGGAAAAACGTCTTGCCTTGTTTGATTTTTGAAATTTGGGATTAAATTTTCTCAAAAAGCTCAAATATTTTAAAGTATTAATTGGTAAAAGATGCATAATTTATGCGTCAAAATCCTGTATGGGTTAATTTTGAGGTGTGGTGATTTTTGAAGATCTTTCGGTTGACCATTTTTTTGGTTAGTTGGTATTTTTGATGTTTTGACAGGTTTTCCTTCTACAAAAAGGGTATATAATTGAATTTCAAAAGAGATCTGAATCATTGGCCAGAGGATCTAAATTCACGATAAAGTTTCAGATTCGAGGGAAGAAACAAACAAATAAGATAGGGGAAGGAGGGACAAAGAAGATAGGGGAAGGAGGGACAAAGAATTGGACATAAAATGTTGAAGAGAGAGAGAAAAAAACAAAGAAGAAAAGCTCGTTTTTATTCAACAATGGAGGATGAACAATCGGGAAGAACTATTGGTGCCTTTCTAATAGACCCCACGCTCCTTAAACGAGTGTATCACACGCACTTCCATAAAAAATGCCACATAGGATGAGCAGGGTTTAAAATGCTCAATTTTTAAGGGTAGAGGTGTTTGATTGGCAAACTCGTAAGTACGAACACCGGCATAACAAAACTAGACAAGTACAGGGGCCTCCCAGGCCATTCCGCCTTATAATTATAGTTTTGGGGAAAAAATAGAATTTACAACAATAACAACAACAACGATAACAAACCCAGTGTAATCCCACAGATGGGGTCTGGGGAGGATAGTGTGTGCGCATATCTTACCTTAACTTGTTAAAGTAGAGAGGCTTATTTCGATATACCCTCAAAAAAAATAGAATTTACTATTAGAAAATAAAAACTATCAATTCATACATAGTCTGATCTCAATCCCAAACGAAATTAACATATATGAATACTCAATTCTTTCTTCAAGTTCAACTCATATCATTTTACTAGGCAAAGGCAGTCACTTAACTATTTTAATGTTTCAACATGAAAGTGGTACAACCCTACATGCTTGAGGCTGGTTCGACACATATGCATGGTGCACATGCACTTGCTGTTTCAAACTAGAATATCTATATCAGAAAATTTATTGAATAATTTGAAAATAAGTATATATGTTAAGTGGTGAACCTACTACCTTGAAATCTTGTATCCGCTTATGCCCGCTCACTGAAGAGGAAATATTATAAAGCCTTCCTATGGGTGAGGAATAGGAGGCAGTGGTGGGAACAATGGGTGGTGGAAGTACTTTGGAGGAATCTTAGGAAAAGGAGGAAGCTTGGAATGAATTGGGACTTTAGGAAATAGGGGTGGACATGGTTTTTTATAGAATGGTGGAATTGGTTTGTATATTGGAACTGGTGGAGGCAGAGGCTTTACTGGTTTGTATATTGGAACTGGAGGTGGAATAAATGGCTTTGGTTTGGGCTTGTAAATGGGAACTGTAGGTGGTTTAATTACTGGTGGCTTTGGTTTTGACTTTGGTTTGTAAATAGGAACTGAAGGAGGTTTCACTACTGGTGGCTTTGGTTTTGGTTTGTAAATAGGAATTGAAGGTGGAAATGGCTTCTTGTAAATGGGAGGGAAAGGTTTCTTATGAATAGGAGGTAGAGGTAAATACATCTTAGGGAAATGTTTCTTTTTCCAAGAATGAATCTTGGGAAAAGGTGGCAACTTTGGCAATGGTGGATACTTGTAGTGTGGCCATAAGAAAGCAGAAGTGCACAAGGCTGTAGAGAACTTTAGATTTCCAGCTGGTTTTAATGTGTGTTTCTCATCATTTTTAGATTTGATGACTACAACTTTTGAGGATTCTATGCCATTGTGTGCTGGACATGGTGCAGCTGATGCACTATGGAGTTGCGCATAGCAATCTTCTTTCAATTTGCCGTCTTTCACCATCTTCTGAGGAAGTGACACCACGAACTTGCCATCTTTGTTAAGTTTTCCTTCTCCCATTGTTTTGATTTCTCCATTTTCAACCTTGCAGTCGATGGTTACACGAAGCCCTGAAAGCAAAAGTTGTTATAACTAGAGGCATTTCTAGAATTTTAAACCATGAACATGGAAGACTACTCATCCATTAATATAAAAGTGACAATGGGTGCATTTTTTTTATTAATGTACATCTTTTCAAAATTATTCAATTAAAGTGGAGCTTTGACGCAATGGTAAGAGTTGTTGTCGTGTGATCACGAGGTCACCGGTTCAAGCAATAGCCTCTGGCATAGCGGTAACTTATTGTGCCAAGCTGCCTTATTCAATGGTACAATAACGAGAGCCTCAAAACAATGATGCAAATGCACTCACTGTTTTGATGATGCATCTGCTATATATGGTTATAGACATTATGCTTCTGAAAAGTGTTTTGCAAATCAAGATATAAAATGGAAGTACATACCTGAAAAGGCATGAGAGGTCTTTATGTTACTTTCTTTGCAATCAGCACATTCTCCAATTCCGACAACCTGGATTGTCTTGTCATCAGCATAGCAGAAAGTCACAGCAAACAGTAACAAAGAGACAGAGAATCCAACAAGGACTCTGCCACAAAGGGACTGAAGCCCCATTGAGCACAATGCCAAATAGCTGAGGGTACTATTAACTCTACTTTGTTAAAATGTGAAATTTGTTGGTATTCTTGAGTATGCTTGTCTGAAGTGAGTAAAGAGTATATATATAGTATTTAAAATGATAGATTTTTATGAGTTACACCAACACATAGTTAAGGACCTCACATAACCTTAGCTTGACTTATGTTGGAACAATTGAAAAATGTATTAAGATTCAACTAATATTTATGGTGGCTAGCATAGCATAGCATAGCTGTTTGATCAAAGGCCATTAACTGCACATCTACTCTTTTCTATCTGTAAACCTATTTAGCGGCTTTCATTTATGTCAATCCTGCTAAAATCTGGAGTTAAATGTGAACTTTTGACTACTTTCAACATCTTCAGTGATAGTATAATTGACATTGGAGGTGTTCAAGAAAAACTGGAAAATCGGATAGCATCAGACTTCCAATTAGAAAGATTAAAAAGGAGAAAAAAGATGTGCCTGAATTTGAACTCACAACTTTCTAAATGGATGAAACTCTCAGCACTAAAACTAAGTCATACGAAGAAATTTACATGTAATTACTTAATAAGTAACCTGATTGTGTAAATATCTTTATATCGCCAGTGCATGTAACTTAAATTCTTGCTTTAATAGCATTTTACGCTCGCCAAAATATTTATTGTAAATCCTCCTGCAGCCTGTAGAAACTTACACTAGCTCTCATAATACTTCTACTATAATATGATTTGACTCGATCATCAGTTTTTTACCTAATCAATAGACAAATATCGTCTAGCGAGATAGAGTTAGGTTCATAAACTTTATCATGTGAGTACATGTTTTTGTTCTTTGTTTGATTTTTCTACACTAGTGATATTTATCTTACATCTTGGCTAATTAAGTGGCAAAAACTGCAGGTAAAGTTGTTTATTCATTGCCGATTTGGAAGCCCTGAAAACGATGTTTCAACTAATTAAGTATGCATTTACTGGAATTCCATCTCCCACATGCAAGCAATATACAGACCAATGTATAACATTGCAAGATAAGTCCGAAGATACACCTCTATTGTCAATTGTTCAAACGCACGAAACTCAATCCAAGTGTGTCAAAGGAAAATGTAGATTGATTTTGAAACTTAGGAATTAGTACTTTCTTGTTTGCTGACAAGTATGTTTACTGACTTTTCTTCTTTCCGCTAAAGATTTTAACAAGCTAAGGAGATTTCCAACTCAAACAAAGACCATAAGAATGGCCAATCCATCTACCAAGAAAATAATAAACTTGTAGAATGTGTTGAGACAAAATTGTCTTGACCACCTCCAACTACCAGTCAGTTTGGCACTAAAAAGACAAAGGCTGATAGGTTTTTCCTCATGCTACAACAGAGAAGAAGCTCTATCACTTCTAATTCTTAAACCTATTGCACGTTTTTAACTGTGCGTAAATCCAGTCTAACTGGGGAATTTAGCCTCCACATACTGCTTGGGACATCAGAAACATCGTCATTCACTTCTTCTTCTTCGACTTGTTGGAAAGCGATTGAGTATATGCAGTTCCCTACATAAAAGACACAAGTAAGGCAAAAACTCCTAATACCCAAGTCCAAACATAAAAAGAAATCATTTCAACATGATTCTAAAAAATTAGAAGACCAAATATTCTAGAAAATACTCCCAACAGTTGAGAAACCACAAACCTCAAGCCACTCATCCATGGATGCATCTGTTGTTGCAGTTCCAACTTCAACCTTTGCCTTTGGTGCTCTCTTAGTTTTCTATACATACATCCAAGAACAAAAGAAACCGTTAGAAGGGAAAAGGACCAACGGAAGTGCAATATAAACTTATCTCACTGAACAGACATTTACAAAAAGACTGTCTGGGCCCTATAGGTAAACTCCTCATACATTAATATGCAGAACTTTTTCTTAGCTCTGCTGCTCGACATAACATTTTGCGCTCTTACAGTGACACCATTATATGTACGGATATGTCTCGCTATCTCCACTGTATCAAGTCTCAGCCGATACCAGATTCTAAAGATTGCTGACACTGATGTATATCCACCATGTCAACAGAATAGTAGCGTAAGAGCTAAAAATGATAACCCTAATTACAAACCATTGAGGCCCTTCTATGAAACAATCCACCCACTATTCTGACGCACTAGCAAATATTCTTCTGCTTTTGCAAGGTGCATACAAAGAGCATATGTAATCACCTTTGAGAGATTTTGTATCTGACCACGTATCCAGAATCCAAGAAGGCCAAGGAGGGCAATTCCAAGACAAAACAAGAAAACAGACTCAACACTGAGAAGACCACCAGGCTCAGTCACTTCAATAGTGCCGTTGTAGAATGTACTTTGATAAGGGTTCTGGTCTATCTCATAAACAATAGTGCCAACTAGATCAAAACTTCCAGGCTGCAACATTAAGAAAGAAAAGGTATTCAGCCTAGGAAACTAACAGCGGCATTCAAGTGCAAGCAAATAAAGTATGAAAAAAAGCAGATAGTAAAAGATAAAGGCAGTACAAGTGCTTGGAAGACAACCAACCTGCATAAATTTGCTGACAGCAAATATATATGGGAAAGTTGCCTGGGCTGAAGGTGGAACTGTTGCATTGTTAAAAGCCTAGGAAATGGACCAAGATACAGAATTAGCCAAGTCCCTAACCCAAATCACAGTATAATAGCATGAACATAGAAGCCTCATTTGAATAGGAACTCCTAATTAACAATGAAAGATCACCAAAGTATTTTCATCCCATAGAGAATAATCACTGCCCTTGTGACAAATAAAAAATTTTACTTTACTTCAAAGCTCTTAAAATGATATCTTTTTCTTACCATTAAATCTAAAATTATATCCTAGGATCAGTCATGCGGAAACTTTACAATATATATATATGAGCTTCATGCTATGTGGAAATTAATATAAAATGAGAAAAAACATATGTTTCATTTGTAAGAAGAATAAGTTCTGTATGCCTTGTGCATGCAAATGTTTTCTCAGGTCAACTGGAAGCTAAACGGCTACTAACCTTAGGGGTCGTTTGGTACGTGGTCTAAATTATCTCGGGATTATAATCCCTGGACTAATTCATCCCACATGGGAGGTGGTATAAAATAATCCCTAGTTTAATGGGATAAGGTGGATAAAATGGGATATCCAGTATTAAGTCCGGGATTTATACTCTGTTTGGTTGGCGGTATAAATTTATCACAGGATAAATTTATACCGCCAACCAAACATGGTATAAATTTAATCCCACACCTTATAACACCTTATCCCGCGTACCAAACGACCCCTTAAGGTTAAAAGTCCACATGTAGAACAGGGACGGCTCAATAAATATGGAGACCTAAAGCAAAAATTCAATGAGAGGCCTTTTTTTATATAAAAGAAAAAATTCATATATAATTTCATTTAAATTCTGTATTTCTAGTTTTTCATATGCAAAGTTATTAATAATTTTATCTAATCCATTTAATTTCTCTTGAGATATACACGTTGTGGGACTGTATTAAAGTTTTAACCTTTTTTTGAGTTATGAATTAATAATCGAATCCTTTCTCAATTTATGGTCTAGAGAGTGATTCCCAAAAAGATATTTTTTCTCAATTTATGATCAACAATTTAATCCTACTTTTTTACTATGAAAATTTGTACTTTCTAATTTAAAGCACTAAATATTCTTCTAAAAATAAATTAATATATAACCTATTAGAAAAATTTGGGGCCCCAAAAATTACGAGGCCCAAAGCAGCTGCTTTAACAGCCTTACCCTTGGGCCGGCACTGATGTAGAAACCTAAAATAAGATTGAAAATTACCAGAAGAATTCAGAACTAAGTGAATATGAGAATATGTAAAGTCCAGCTTAAAGGGCATAATAAATCACAAATCTTATGGAAGGAGGAGAGTGCAGCCTGATTTCTACAAAAGAAATAAGCCAACCAATTACCTGTACAGACAGATTTTGAACCAAATAACGATGATCAAAAGGAAGGTGAACACTGGCTTGGATTGCAATGATATTCAGGCTTGAATCCCCTGTTTTAGGCACCCAAAATAGGGAAATGAATCACTGAAAATTAAGCACTTGAAGGGGGAGAAGAAAATACACCAAAGCACATAAAATTACCATCATTTTTCATTCCAACTAACAGCTCACTTTCCTCGCCAGCTGCCACCGCTGCGAAGAAGAAACGTGATTTAGAGATGCAGTTCTAAAACAGTTACTAACCATTTAAGCAAAACAAGGAACAAACAATAAAAATGCAAAGCAGAATTGAAATTACTTACACTTGGAGGGGTTTTTAGGGAAAACACAAATTGTCTCAATCCCGGGTGCGGGACTAAAACTGTCACTGCCAAAATCATGCACATCATCACCAACAATTCCAAGATCCCCTCCTTCTCCACTGCCTTCAACCACTTCCGTTTCAGGGTCGGATTGACATCTAGCAACTAAGGAGAAAAATCAACACCATATAAAACCAAAATGAAATTCAGGAAATAATAGTTCGAAATCTAAACAGAAACTCCGTAATAATCAACTCCAACAGCAAACAGCCCAATAAACATCAATAACAAACAGCGCAACAATCCCAAAGAAAGTTGTGGTCGGCTACACAAATCCTTTGTAACCATTCCATTCTATTCAGGCCCAAAAGCTTAGAAGATAACTGAAACCTGAAAATCAAGTAAATGGACTACTATACTTTACCTTTCTCGTAAAGAAAAGTAAACTAACTACTTACCACCACATCCAAGATTCTGGATCCAAGATTTGAACTTTATGAGTTTAGTATGCAACTGAACCCACTAATGAGTTACTGGGTTCGAAATTCAATATTTGTACATATTTGATAGATTCCTTAACACGTATTAGGTATGAGCCAAAGCAATTGGGTTTAGCTGAACCCATAGATTATACTACACATCCGCCCCTAACATTAAGTAGGATCGATGCAAGGATCAACAGTTCTTTTCCATGTTATTATATCAAATGAGATTATAACAAGAGATTACCAAGTCGAAGACATTTAATTTAACTAGCAAATTACACTATTGCCACCCAGAACACAATTCGAATTCTACTTATTATTCCAGAAGACTAAATTCTGCTAAGATTATTAAATAAACATCCTAAGCATTCACTAATCTTCAATAAGG